TTCAGAGGGACAACGCAGTGGAAAGCCAGCCTCACTCCAACTAAAACAGTGCTTGGAAACAAGTCGTGCTGCATACTGAAAGGGGACGCAGCAGTTGTTCCCAATCCTCTTTCCTTTTTGGTTGCTGCTGAACAGCATGGCAAAAATTTGTCCTCCAGCCCAGTTATACTGTTCCGCTGATGCTGGAACAAAAGGAGAATGAGCTGTGGCAGAAATAACAAGGTAACCTGCATTTCTAATGGAAGCGACAGCTGGACGTAAAAACCTTAATGCCATCACATCCAACTTTTATTTGCTCTTTGAACACCCTCTTGCTTTCTAAACACTTTTCCTCCAAAACAGATTCATTAGACTGACTCTCCCAAACCCTTCTATAACCTAAGCATTTTGCAGTTACACTGAGAACCGCACAACTTCTTGCCTTAAGATCTGAGCTCTGAGCATTGCAGGGGCCTGAGGCCAACCTGGGATCTGACAACATGCAGCATCCAGCTCCAGAATTTTTAGGGGTGCTCAGGTTTGGAAAAAGTGGGTAAATTAAGTATGCAACAATTGTGAAAACATGATGTTAGGCATTATTTCAACTTCTTCAGCTGGAAATGGACATAATTTTTACTTACCTGACAAGTGTGTCGTGAGAATCAGCTAATATTGAGACTTTGATCTTTAAAGTGCTTTGCCAAGTATTAATTAAGCAAGGGTCATTTTGCACTTAAAAAAGCTAGCGTTTTGGAGTTGAACTTGTTTTCATCCCTCTCCTAAAATAGTAAAGAATCTACTGTTTGTTTTTCTACATATTCCCTGGGAGATGATTTTGGAGAATCAGAGGCGTGAGAAGTTGTCTGCATTTTGTTGGAGGAATCTGTTTTCCTATGGGTCTCATAGCCAGGCCTGCAGACTGAGATCAAATGTTCCTGAACACAGGGAGAAGGGGAACTCCCCGTAACGAACATCTCCTTTATAGCTCACCTACTGGTATTTCCTACAACACAGGTCACAAGGACACGTATGAGAAGTTTATAACACACCACAGATACTCAAGCACTGCAATTACTGGTAAAGCATTGCCTCATTTCTCCACAGGGGGATAGTGCCAACATATGGGCAAAAGAGTATTCCAGTTTCATCTATAGTCAGTGACATGAAGCATGCCCAAAGCTGTGTGATTCTTTTGTTCCACAAGTCACCTGTATAGAATGCCGCTAGAGACAGTGAGCAGAGGCTTGTTGCCAGAGCTGCCTTACTCCCAGCCTTCCCATGCTCAATAACGAAGGCAGGACATCCTTCGTGAGCATCCTTGTTACAAAGATCTAGGAGCAAAGGTGTGACATTTGGCCTTAAATAGCCCACTGAATATAAACCCATATTAGCAGGAAATAAAAAACTGTACTTGATAGCATATGGGAAAGTAGAAGCATAAATTTCCACATGTGCTGCTTTGCACACCCCAGAGAGATCATTATACAGGGCTTTCCTGCTGCTGATGGTTCCAGCCTGACCTGGTGTCACAGGCTACAAGTGGTGGCAGCACTGTGAGATCCTCTCTTCTTCGTCCTCAGTAATTTCTTTCCTGTCAGCCAGGCAACACAAAGTACTGCCATAGAGCAAGGAAAAAACACAGACAACACATCCTGGGATAGATGTCAGAAGGCAAAAGCATGTAGATAGGTGTAAATCCTGTGTACTTCCCTCAAACTCTGTTCAGAGACTTGGGTTTTGGGGTGACCCTAGCAAAACTTCTGTGAGAGCATGTTGCAATCTGCACGTCTCATCCCCATCTGGTGCCCACCAGACACAGGAGATGTCGAACAATTGTTACCCAGCACTTCAGTAGCTTCTGTCCCACGGATCTAAAAGGGGGTCTTCCAGGTGATTCTGGGGGCTCAGCCTGATTGAGGTCACTCAAATTTTGCTATGTAAAAGAACTTGGGAATGTACTGGTAACAAAGATAAATTCGAAAAGCAGGAAAACTTCACTAGAAGTAAAGTTACTTATGTGAACCCTTTATGATAGTCCCTATGGTGAGAGGCTTTCTGTACAGTTCCCCTGCCTCATTTCATGCACAGTACAGACATTACTTAATGAACTAGCGACTTCAATATTTATTTTTCTCCTCATTATCCAGTGTGGCTCTATGCCTTATTTACCATGCTATCCAAAGGCTGCCTAGAATTATTTAGTTTTCATGATAGAGTAGCCAAGTTCTTATTGAACAACAATTAGTTTTACAATCCCCAGCTGGATCCTGAATAAAAGGGGACATTTGGAGGATGGTCATTCTTTTTAAGCAACTATTTTATAAACAAATAAGGCTAAAAGCATCTCTGTAGACTTCCCAGAAAGAACCTGCCTGCCAGGAAGCAGAGCTTAGTGTGAGCACATGACGTGACACGGTCCTCACCCTTCAGAAGTGTGTTGGAACCAGGCTATTTTTGGTGCTGGTGCACACATTTTGCATAGTAACTACCATTGAGAATGGAGAACAAAACTCTCTCAGTGTTACGTTACAGACTTATTCCAGGAATCTCAGATTACAAGACACACAGCAAGAAGCTAATTTTGGTATCTGATAAGGGCTGAGTGTTCTTCTACCCCCACTCTGTGCACCATCCTACCTGTGCTCTGCTTGACAGTGCCTGCTCCCAGTTCCCTAATGTGCACCTCCACTTCCTTCTGCTTTCATTCACTGCCTCAAGGTTATTACAATCTATTACCAGCATAATGTGATGCACTTATCAGCTGATCATCCCCTCCAGTCCATAATACATTTTTCCCAGCCTTTCCTTACTACTTAAAACAACAACAATAACAATTTCACTCCTGATTTCTCTCTCCTCTTCACCAGGTGAAGAAACAAAACAAAACAACATTTCCCAGATTCTTCCAGTATCTCAACTTTGGCTTTCAGCTCTGTGAAAGATCACTCAGGAGGTTTTTTTGAAAAGATACAGAAGAGACTGTTTCTGAAAGTTTATTCCACTTTTTGGCTCTATGGGTAATCAAAGCCCAAATCTTGCCAGCTCTTCTGCAAAATGTACTTCAAACTCAAGTTTAAGATTTCATTTTCAATAACCAATTGACATTTGAAAGTTATTGGAGTTCAGAAAGATAAAGCTCTAATTTTCATGTCTGATAGCTGCAAAAGTCAGATCAGATAGAAGTTACTCAATTAGGAACTCAGACTACACTTCTACAAAATTAAAATACCAGAAAAATAAGATCTACTGGAGATCATATCTGTTTTTACATCAAGGACAAAGTATTAAACTCTCCGCATGGATGGGTTTATTCCTCTGCCAGTTTCATGGCCAGGCAGTAATGATATCATCTTCAACTTGTACTCAAATGGCTCCTAAATAAGCATTTAAAAAAAAAAAACAAACACACAAATAAGGCAGCCTTACTATCCTGCTTGTTACATAATTCTGAGGGAACTGATGATAACATTTTCCCATGTTTCCCAGGTGAAACAGTTAAAAACTGAGTTGGTAACTCTAATGTGAAAGTAACTATAGGGAAACTTCTAAGAGACAAACTCATCACACACATGGAATTGATCAAGACATTCCATGGGCTAGAACACTCCAGAGATCCTAAAGCTAAAATTAGTTATTTCTTGTTTGTTTTGATTTGTTCAATTCCTACTGGGAGGTTTTAAAGACTTAGTTTTATATCTAATAGGCATACGCTCATTTCAAACTGGGCCAGATACTAGGGATGTAGAGAGCCAATGCACAGTGTAGTCTGTAAATCCCTACCTTAGGTACAATGTTGTCAAACTGTGGGATCTCTATTTCAGACAACTCAGAATCCGCAGACAATTCTATGGAACAGATAGCGTTTTGCTATGTTCCTGCAGCACCTCACTTTTTTTGGTGCTATTAATCAGTTAGTAACTTTAGAAGACAAGTTTACAAAAACCCAAAGCCTAGAATTAAAACCGTTCCAGCATGTTAGAAATTTAAGAGAGGACCATCATCCCGCTTATATAACATATCATAACTTATATAACATCTAAGTTATGAATTCTGTACTTTATCCAGCATTTGGAAAGACTTAGTTGACTGCTTCCAAACTCATCAGGCAAGCTCTGGGAAATGGAAGGTGAGATCGTGGGAAAAATGTAATACAAAAAAATACTGGAACAAATCTGTGGCAGCTAGAAGTTTCTGACTATCCCTGCACTGCACACAAGAGACACTCGAAACCTCCTGGGGTATGACTTCCACACACAGGTCTTTGCTTCACACACAAATACATACGTACATATGCCCACACACAGTTACAGAGCTCAGGTTATTATGAAATACAGTTAGGGAAAGCAATGGCTTTAAGAAAAATAATGGGGTATTCAAGAGCAAAGTAACAGTTTCAAAAGGGTCTAGAAAATGAACCAAAGCTCTTACTGTTAGAGAACTATTGACTCCAGGTTTGAAAAAGTGACCTCAAGTGAGCAATGATGCACTTAGCCTGGAACTTGCAGCCGCTGTATTTCATCCCAAATTGAATTGCCAAACCACAGTGCAATCTTCTACTATCAGCTCACATATTTGGGGCAAGTACACAGAAAAATACTGTATAGTGGATGAATTATTCCAAGTTAGACAAATTTCTTCTGAAAATGGAAAATGTGTCTTTGTTACAGAACTTAAGGACCCCTTTGAGGTTGTGTTTTTTTTTTTTTTTCTTCTATGAGCATTTAGTGACAACTTCATGTTGGCATTTCTCCTTCAAGCAGTTGATAAGCATGCAAATACCTTTGGACATGGCCCAGTTAATAGCATTTAGGTACACCTTTCCTACAGACCCTCATTTAAAAACACAAAGATACTTTATACATCATACAGACATGTACAATGTTCAGATCCAGATTCTCATAATAGGGAGAGCATTACATTAAGTGGTATTTTAGGTAAATCAGTTTATCAATAACAAAAGCATCAATATCAATGTCTTGCAAACATAAATAATTGCCACCTGTATGCTATGAAATACTTACATTCACTTTTCTACTATGTCTTCTTCACTACAGTCAGGTTACTTTCCAGGACAGCGTTTAATCTTCTTACTAAATAAAAATAAAAATAAGACAGTGATTAAAACAATATCCATATTCATTAAGCGATGTTCAATCATCTTAAATTTATGAACTTTGAAACATTGATTTAAGATCATCTGTAGTGTCCCATAAACGTATAATTTGTTTATATATAGTCAATTTTATTGTATTTAAAACACAATTTTAGCACACCATAACTTTCAATCCTGAGGCTAAATGGGGTAATGTTCTGCATTTCAGTAGCTACTGAGATTATAAATCAGATGGACAGTTGCTCACAAGTGTACAGCTAATTACAACAGAACTGAGAGCTCAGCTGATATATCAGCAGAAAGAATGCCTGGCATTACAGATGGGGTACTGTATGACTTGGCACTCTTCTAGTGAGGACTTGAACATGCTCTTATCAATGGCAGCACTCAGCACCTCCCACGATCAAACATTTAAGAATGGAAGAGAAACAGTGCTTGTCCCTCTAGGGAAGGATAAAATACCATCTGATATCATTTAACATTACTGTATATGCCAAAAAGTGATTAAAAAAGATTATTAATCTGGACTGTTCAACTTGAATATGAAGATGACAATTGTCCTCAAAGATTACCCACATCAATCCATGCAGTGAGTGCTGAATGCCCCAACCCGGTTCTTACATACGGATATTTATCACTACATTTTTGTAAAGAATATGATGTCCACTCAAGCAGTTCACAGGAAATGCCAACACAGGCACTAAAAGATCATCAAATGGAAGTTGAGCATGAAGCAAAGACCCAAACATTCAGCAGAATCCACCACCTGCATCTCCAAGCCATCTCATCTCAGTGCCAGCTGAAGCTGACTTTGAGACTTGCCTGCCACTGGCTCCCTGGGGAGGTAGGAAATAAACCTCAGCAGGACTTTTATTTTCCTCTCCACGTGCCCTGAGGCTGCCCAGTACTGAAGTGTGCTTATTTCATTAATATTCAATGGGACTTAATTTCTTGTTTGCATTCCCCATATCTAGTTGCTGTGGTAACACATTCTTTAGGACTCCATACATTCATCTCCTCCTGACAATACAAATTGCTTGGAAGCAGCCGAGGTCCTAATGAAAAGCAGTCTGAGGAACCTGCATGCTTGCAAAGATACTCAGCAAAACCGTGAGATGTTAAAGCCATGGTGAGTGCTGTTAGCTTCAATATTTGTGTGTTCCATTAGAAGTGTTTTCCACCCAAGACAGCTGAGTAGCTGTACTAGGAAGAGAGGGCTGGGGCAGGTATGTAAAACAGAGCAAAGTGAAACAAGGATAGTGGTCAGATAGATGTAGAGAGAAGGTGAAAGGATATCCGACCAGAAGCATGAAGTGAAGATGGAGAAATAAACAATATCGGGATCAAAGATAGAAGATCAGAAGAGTTCAGGTTAGGATTTCTCTTTTTTCATAAAGAGGGAAGAGAGAAACATAGGAGAAGAGCAGGGTGAGGTATTTGGACATCACCTGGATGACAGGACCTAAATGTAAAGAGAAGGTTTGGAGTGGATCTGAGAGATAGCATGGGAAGGAAGGCTTAAGTAAAGTGGCCAACCCACGAGACAGGCAAGAGTCTGGATTTAGGACAAAGGGAAACACAGATTGCTTTCTATGTTTTACTAACAATGGAAATAATCTGGTGCAACATATGCACAGAAAGGGAAAGAAAATACAGAAGTAAAAGGAAGAGCAAGGGGTATGAAAGAGAATGATCTTTTCAACAATTGTCAGGAAGGAAGGAGGTGGAGGTAAGTCAATAAGTAAACAAGATTTCATCCAGCTAGGAAGTTCTCTTTGTACATCTCTTTGTATATCTCTCCTTTAGAAGTTTTTTGCAAGCATTACTGAATAGTGATGTAGGCATTTCTTGAATAGTTGGCTCACATCTCAGCTTTGCAGTTGCAACAACAGAAGTGCCTGTAAATTGAAATTTGGCTAAGCTTGGAGAAGGAATCAGATTCTGAGCTTTCACAGTCGTGTCCAGCCAGCTATACCCCCAGTAACAAAAGTACACATCCTGCTAAACTTTATTTATTGGGAAAACAGGCTCAACCACAACTGAGGAACTGGAAGAGAGCAATCAGACTGTGCATGCGTCAGTTCTCACATGTGTACACTTAACATTTTAGTCCATCGTTGGTAACTAGCTGTGCCAGAGAATGATGCCACCCAACTATACTCAATTTTCTACGCTATAACATACAGATCCTTTTTCATAATAGGCCTGGGACCCAAGCCAGAAATCTTACTCACTGTCTCCCTACTTATTCATACTGAATCATCAGATTTTCCAGGTTGCTCTGCTCTTCGCCGGCATGTTGCTTTGGCTAGGTTTGGATGGACGTCAGTGGTACCATCTGCCACAAAGCTTCCTGGTTTTCTTTAGTTTTTTCCTTTCAACTTCTGCTTGTAGCACAACAGCTCTTTTTCAGTATCTTACATAGCACTGCAAGGAATACATCTCCCATGGCATGAGTTGGCCAGCTGGCCAGCCCAAAGTGAATGCTTGAGCTACCGGAATTAAAATATACATTCCTATCAGAAATCTTAAAGCTGGAAATTCTTGCAGGCTGGCTGAAAGTCAAAAATACCTAGAAAACATAATGAGGTTTTCTTCAAAGCTGACAGCAATCAGGAGCACAAACAGAGCAAGTGTGGGGTGAGGAGATGCTCACAATCTAACTTCAGTCGAACTAGGTTGATCTTGACAGAACAGCTGAGGATGGAAGGGATCTCAGAGGGTCATGTTGTCCCTTCTCTCTGCACTGGTTCAGGAGAGAAGGTTTTGCTATGGATCATCTTCTAGAGAAGGAATCAGTCTTTGAACTGCTCTTTGGAGCATCCTCTCCCTCCATAACCCCCAGAGGACAGTAAAGAGATGAGTGCTGTTAGACCACATTTAGCTCTTATCCTGTCCCATCCCAATCTGAATACATTTAACTGCTCCTACTTCTCACATGAAACAATTTCTGACTTTCAAATCAGAAGACTCCTCTAGGACAAAGAACACCACAGACATGTAACCTAGCCAGGACTGTCAGGACATGTAAATAACGCAGCACAGCTGCATACAAACTCCCTATCCTGCAAGCACCCCATACCTCATCTTGCAGCTGTGCCTCTCTATCTAGGTTGAATGTCATAGGTACTGTCACGTCAAAAACATGGTAAGCTCAGGTTGAACAGCTGCGTTTACATTTTGAGTGCAGCCCCAATGCAGCATCTCCTGGAGGGACGGTGGCTGTCTGAACACTGGAAGGAACAAACAGCACTCATCTGATTGAGCAGCCAGTGCTGTTATAAGTAAAAATGTTTTAAGTGCTATTTTTGCTTGTTTGCTTCTAGAGCTTTGGGAAAAAAAAAAAAAAAGAAAAAAAAAGAAGAAGAAGAAAAAAAAAAGAATCCAAATTTCTTCGAGGGAGGTTTTTGTTGTTAGAGAGGGCACAAAGGGGTCAGGGACAAAAAGTTGTGCTATCCGGTTCCCAGACACAGACCTTGCTCCCTTGAGCTTCAGTTATATGTAACATATTGAGTAAATGCTTTTCATATAGGCATTTATACACCCACGGGACATTTATTTGGCTGTTTAGCTAACAAGCATGGTGCACTCGATAGTTCTGAGCATATAGGATAACACTTCCAGTGTTTCTGTTATGAGCTTAATTTTGAAAATGGATCTTCACGTTTCATTTTGTCACAACACTGAGATCACGTCCATATGGAAACAGGATGTAGAATTTACTATTAAAAACTTCAGACTGTTATTAAATGTCAGCTTAAGACCCCAAACATTACACTATTTACATCACTAATTAACTAACATACTACTACACTACAATGCTCAGCTAATTCTGCATCTCTTCTTACCTTGTTCCTGGTCATTCCCTTCCTGCTTTTTGCACCTCTTTGACTTCAGAGACACTGGTTTCACTTCCAGCAAGAATCTCCAAAGTCATCACTGACTTCCTTTCTATCTCTTCCACTTGGCTACCTAAGGTTTAGTATCATCATTTTCTGCTGCTCCACACGGCTCTGCCTTCAGTATACTTACACATAATACAGTTTAAACTCTTTTGCTATGGTTTTCAGTCAGTCTCACATACTTTTGTCCACAAATTTATGTGCTATGAAAAGGCCCTGATCTCCTCTGCAAAAATTCACAGAATATTAATATGATGATGGAAGTGTTTAATATTGCTGGATGTACCTCAAAAGAACCACCACTTTCACTCAGCCCTTTCATTTTTCTCTTCCTGCAGTTTGCAGGGCAAAAAAAAAAAAAAAAAAAAAAAAAGGAAAAAAAAAAAGAAAAAGAAAAAAGGAAAAAAGCACACATGCTGGAGTTTTATGTTCTTAACATTTAAGTTAAAAGTCTCAGATCAAAATCTGAGTTTTACAGATAAAATACAAGAAAAAAGACCAGCATAACTCAATACTGAAAACCAAGAATTTGTGCTCCTTCAGCCTTTCTGAATATCCTTCACTTCAGTATAAGGAAACTACATACCTCATCACTTTATAGACCTTTCCGCAGAGACTTTTTGACTACAGAATTAAATGCCCTAGCCACTTTCTCTTTGTCCTTTCTGACCAGTCTAGAAAGCCTACCTGTTCCTTGAACAGTATTTCATTGCAAAGATCAAATAGCAAAAACATTATCCTGTGAACTGGCTGATCTCCAGTAACTCACGTTAGGGCCAAGAACAGAAGCAATTACCAATGAAGGAGAGACGAGGTATATGCATTCCAGAGTCTTCAGGTTGTTATTTATCAAAACCTAACAACTGATACTGGGCAAAATCATACCCTGCCTTACCACTCACAGAGGGCAAGAATCACTCTAACCAGTGTGGAGTCAGCACCTAATAGTGATCCACCAGAACCTGGTACTCATCAAGTGGTCTGGTCACTTGGATAAGGGTTTCATCCTATGCACAGCAACACAGAAGCAATTCCACTTTCTCAAAAGCTATTTAAGAAATCCTTAAATCTCAAC